AGTCCTATTTTAGAAGATTCGGTATGAAGTTCTACAAGCATGGTTTGCATTTCTTGTAGGTCAGTAGCTATCAGGATTATGTCATCTGCAAATCGTAGATTACTGAGGTAGCGGCCATTGATGTTTATTCCCTTATATTTCCAATTTAGGTTTTTAAAAACGTCCTCCAAAACTAAGGTGAACAGTTTGGGTGATAAAGTATCTCCCTGTTTGACTCCCCTGTTTAATGGTACAGGGTTCGTGTGTTCATTTTCATTTAGGTAGTATGTAGCTGTAGCTTGGTTCATAGTTTCTTTTATTAAGTTAATATATCTGCTGTCTATTCTACAATTTTGCATTGCGTTTATTACGGCCGTGTGTTCTATGGTATCGAAAGCTTTTTCGTAGTCTACAAATGCAAGGAAAACTGGAAACTTGTATTCGTTACATTTTTCTATTAATATTTTTGTGGTTAACAGGTGATCGGAAGTTGAATAGCCTTTTCTAAAACCTGCCTGTTCATATGGTTGGTATTCGTCTAATTTCCTTGTTCGTCGAGTAGTTATGACTTTGGTGAGTATTTTAAACAGGTGTGACAGTAGGCTGATGGGTCTGTAGTTTTCCAATTTTCGACTATCACCTTTCTTGTGCAATAAGATTACTTTAGAGTTGTTCCAGCTCTTAGGGACTTTGCCCTGATGTAAACAACTGTCCACAAGCTTAGTTACAATTGCAATTAGTTCCTTACCTCCTTCTAATATCATTGAATACTACCTACTATCATTGAATAATTCCTGAATACTGATTTCTATTTCGTGTTTTAATTCAGATACGTTACTGTGTTGATTATTATTTTCCTTTCCTTTAAACAGTTTCGTTAGGTATCTTTCCCATTCGTTTGCTGGTTGCTATTGTATTCCTTTATTTCTGCGATTTATTTCCGTTGGTTTCTTATGAATCTCCATATTTGTTTTTGGGAACCGTAGAAGTCACTTTCCATCCTTTTTGTAAACTCTTCCCAGTGTTCATTTTCTGTTCTTCTTTACCAACTGCCTTGTTTCATTTCGTATTATACGTGTCTTGGGATTCTGGAGTATTACATGGTTTGTACTTTGTGTAGGCCTCTCGTATCCCCTTACATTTCTCTTTTATTTCTTTTCTGAGCCATGATGTATTGTTGTTGTTTCTTTTATTCAGTACGACTTTGCGTTTTTTTGCTGCTTCTTCAATGTTGGTTTTAATTTTCTCCCAGCTCGCGTTTATATCTTTGATTCCGTCTATTTCTTTCAGCTGTATCTTCTGTGCCAGCCTTCTTTGTTACATTTCTCTTGTAGAATCGTTCCACAGTGATTCTACATTAAATGTTTCCTCAAAGTTTTGGTGTTATTTTCATTCTTATTTTTGCTAGTACTAGTAGTTTATGTTTACTTCCTGCGTCTGTTGAGTTTAAGGTTTGGATATCTAGGATCTGCTTTGGGTGGATTTTTCTATTAGTAACTAGAAAGTCAATCATAGATTTGTGCCGCCTGGAGTTTTCAAATGTATATTTATATTGGAGCTTATGGTCGAAATATGTATTATTAATTTTCAGTTCGTTAAAAGCACAGTTGTCTTCCTATGCTTTATAGATTCGATACTATTCGAACGTTCGATAGATGAGAATGACCTTAAAATCATAAAGAACCTTTATATGAATTAAGTGGCATCTGTGAGAATAGGACTGGAATCTACATCATATTTTTTAATCGAAAAAGGTGTACGACAGAGATGTGTTCTGTCACCCCTCCTTTTTAATCTTTACTCTGAAACGATTTTCTATAAAGCCTAAGTGACACTGAAGATGGAATTAAAATAAACGGACAGACTATTAGTAATCTTCGCTATGCTGATGATACAGTCATAATAGCTGATAGCCAAGAAGCGCTACAACGACTTCTTCTTCTTAACGTGCCCTATCAAGTCCCCTTGACGTTGGCGATTAACATGGCGAAACTGTCTCTGTCTCGAGCTATTCTAAATAGTTGCTTAGCTTTCTTTATTCCTGTCCACTCCCTGATATTCTTCAACCAAGAGGCCTGCTTTCTACCAATTCCTCTGTGTCCTTCGATTTAACCCATCATAATAAGTTGAAGAATATTATATCGGTCTCCCCTTACTACGTGTCCAAAATAGGCCATCTTTCTACATTTGATGTTATCAAGCAGCTCGCGAGCAGCATTTGCTCTTTCAAGGACTTCCACATTTGTCAGCATAGCTGTCCATGGAATTTTTAGTATACGTCTGTGCAGCCACATCTCAAAGGCATCCAGACGATTATTCGTGGATATTTTTAATGTCCATGCTTCGACACCGTATAAGAGGACTGACCAAATGTAGCATTTAACCATGCGCTTTCGAAGTTGAAGTTGCAAGTTATCATTACAGAAGAATGACCTCATTTTTAAAAATGTCGTGCGGGCTATCTCGATTCTACATTTTATCTCTTGATTTGGATCTAGTTGTTCAGTAATATGGCAACCAAGATATTTAAAACTGGACACTCTTTGAATTATATGACCATCAACATATAATCGTGCATCTTGATGTGCTAAACGGCTAAACACCATGTGTTTTGTTTTTTAACATTTTATGTTTAGGCCAAACTCTCTTCCCACTTTATCAATGGCATTTAGAAGGCATTGTAATCCATTCATGTCATCACTTAAAATAACTGTATCGTCTGCATATCTGATTTTATTTATCAGAATTCCATTAACTTTCACGCCCCATTCCAAATTATGCAGCGCTTTTTTAAATATTCTATCTGAATATAAATTAAATAACAGTGGGCATGTATACAACCCTGTCTGACACCTCTTTGTATTTTACATATTTCTGTTGATTTTCCGTTTATGCAAGCTGTCGCTGTTTGACGCCAGTATAACTTTTCTATGAATCGTATGTCTTGACTATCAACTCCTTTATCTTTTAATATTGTAATTAATTTGTGATGCTGTACTCGATCAAAGGCCTTTTTATAGTCAATAAATACAGCAAAGACGTATTTCCTTTGATCTCGACATTTCTACAGTAATACATTTAGTGCAAAGAGGGCGTCCCGAGTTCCCAGTCCATTTCTGAAGCCAAATTGTGTTTCATCCTGATCTTTTCTACATTTATCTCTGATTCTACTGTGGATGATGCGTAGAAATATTTTCAAAGTGTGGCCCATAAGGCTTATCATTCTATAATCGCTACAGTTTTTCGGACGTTTTTTTTTGTAGTGTTATGAATTCGGACTTTAACCAACCTTCAGGGATATCACCAGTCGAATAAACATCATTGAAAAGTTTGACCAGTATTCCAATGTTCTCCTCATTTATAAGCTTTAACATCTCTGTCGGTATGTTATCAGGGCCAACGGCTTTCTTGTTCTTTGCTAACTTTATAGCATACAGTATTTCTGATTTTAGTATTTCTGGTCCTTCACCTTCAGCTAAAGTCTCTGGTTCTTCGGGTCTATCATCATTATACAGTTCACTTATATAATTACACCAGGTTGTTCGAATTTCATGTTTGTCTATTATCATTTTTCCTACAACGACTAATAGATAGAATAAACACTGAAGGAGAACGACCGGGCTTGAAGATTAATATAGACAAGACGAAGGTAATGGTGGTTAGTAGAACACGAAATATGCAATTGAATATAAAAATAAACAACAAGAACATACAAAAGGTCCCCAAGTTCAGATATCTCGGTAATTGGATAACTGAAGATCTAGATCCAGACATAGAGATACGTAGCAAGATTGAGCAAGCCAGAACAGCATTTACTAATATGAGAACCTTGCTAAGCAACAGCAGCCTCAACTTAATGCTTCGATATCGCTTTGTAAAATGTTACATTTACTCCATACTGCTATATGGTGTAGAAACATGGACCATAAAGGCCAATGTGATGAACCGATTGAAGGCCTTTGAAATGTGGGTATTTAGAAGACTACTTAAAATTCCCTGGACAGATCACACAACAAATGTCGAAGTATTAAATCGAATGGGCAGAGAACGAGAATTGCTGCCAATAATAAAACGAAAAAAACTGCTTATCTGGGTCATATATTTCGAAATTCCAAGTACCAGTTCTTAAAGCTTATTATGGAAGGGAAGATAGAAGGAAAACGAGGCATCGGAAGAAAGTGACACATCTCTATGCCCATGCACTTTTTAGAGCCACACAAGATCGAGAGGAGTATATCAGAATTGTCGCCAACATCCACTAATTGGATAGGGTACCATAAGAAGAAGAAAAGCACAGAGATTATCCATTTGCGTTGACATAATTTTCATTAAATCTTTGTTTTACTCCTGGAACTATTTCGTTTCAGATTCGTGCATTAAACTCTTCCTTAAGAATTAAGGGTTCTTCATGAGGTATTTGTGATGTTCATATGTATTATTTTTTTAAAGATATAACTGTAGATATTTATCTTGTCTTTAAATTTTTAATGGACCAATATACCTACGCCTCTTTGGCGTTTATCTTTCTTCTTGGTTTCTTGGATTGCATAAATGTCTGTTTTTATTTATTAGTTCTTCTATTATCTTTTGGTCTTTTTTGTTGAAAAGAAGTAATGTTCCGTGTTCTAATCTGATTGTGGGTTTATTTTTCCATCTTGTTTGACATTTCTTTGGGTAGTTCGTCATCTTAGGTTCCGTCTGGTTCCGAGGCTTTGTATCGGTTCTTTGAGCCTTGTTTTATTTTACAATGAGTAGGATGCTAACCTGGCCCATCAACCCTCCTCTTTTATTTGGGCTTGGGACTGGCTGTGGGCATTAACGCGGCTTCTGAGCTACTCAATCCACCCAGTCCTCGCACTCATAACCCCAGGCATAGTTGCTTAAACTATTTAAATGGAGAAAATAATTGAATAGATATCCCAATTTTGCTAATCCCTATTAATTCATTAAAATTATTGTGGTTGACAAAACTAACTATATTCATATTTTCTTTATATGTATGCGTTTTCTAATATTTTCAGGATGGTTTATTACCTTCAGGACATCAAGTAGAAACTGGTTATCTTCTAAATCTGAATGAAGTTCAGAGACAAGACGCCGGAGTGTATCAATGTACAGCTTCCAATGGAATAGGACAACCAGTTACTGGAGAAATAAAGCTTCATGTATTATGTAAGTACTTAAATTGGACTTACTAAAATATAGCTCAGAATTAATAGTACAAATGCTTAATTAAGTAAGTTATGTATATATCGATGACAATTCAGATTTTATCATTTTTAAACCGAAATAAAAATTTTGATACTTTAATTTTGTGCGGCCAGTCTGCAGTTTTATTCGATCACAAGTTATCGCAAAGTAATTAGGGCTTTATTCTTAAAATACGTATTTTGAGAATTATTTCTGCAGTGAAAATTGAAACGTCAAGACAAAGGTATTTTTAATTATTTTTCTTCTTTTTCTTTTTATATAGACATGATGCTGTCTGTTTTTCAATGAGCCTCCAGTAAGTTGTCGTTCCATCGATTTCGTGGTCTTCTTACGAATCATCTTCCTATTGGAGAACCATCTCTTGCCGTCTTTACTACTCTATTTGGCGTCATTCGGCTGATATGATCGTTTCATTCTACTCTTTTACTTCTTACCAAGTCCTTGATGTTCTCCACCTTGCATCTACGACGTATATCTGTACTTCTAGCTCTGTCTTACCCTCAATTGTTCTGAGTGTTTTTATCTCTGCTGTTTCTAACATCCTTTTTGTCCTCTCTGTATCAGGTCTTGTTTCTGCTGCGTATATCATTATTAGACTGATGTTTTGTAAATTCTTCCTTTCGTTTCTCTCCCGATATTTTTATTTCTCCATACTGTTTCGTTTAGGCAGCCTGTGGCTCTGTTTGCTCTATTCACTTGATCTTCCACTTTGATTTCGAGCTTTCCGTAGCTTCCGGAGCTTTCAGCTCCAATTTACGTCTTAGAAAAATTTACTGTTGTAACCATGCATTTTGTCTTTTTTGGGGAAATTAACATGTTAAATTTTCTGACAGTTATATTAAATGGCTATTAAAAGCTATTTCATTGTGGCATTTTAAAGTAATTACTATTTGAATGGGAATAGGCCACAAGAAAAGGTTAAAGTACGTATTGACGTTTCAATTTCCACTTCGGAGATCGTTCTCAAAATACAAACATTAGTAAATTAAACATATTTAAGACGATTTTAAAATGATATTGCCAATATTGTTAAGTTGCGTTGCTGGGACGACTTTACTTGTAAGATAGTTCATTCGATTACATGAAATTAACTTTAACTTGAGATTATCCGTCAGGATTATCGGGTAATTTGTTCAGCTAGTATATTTTGAAAATAAATAATAAAATAGTTCACATCTACTACGAGTATACTGAGGCTTTATATTTAACCATATAAATCCCAACATAATTATCTTATAATATTAAAATAAAATTTATCGGTATTAATTTTATTGTTTTTTCTTTAGATCCCCCGAAGTCAGCGTTATTCGGTCGTGGGTAAATGCCGGAGAAGGAGGAGAAGCTAAGCTGGATTGCGTAGTTCATGCTGATCCTCCCGCAGAAGTAAGTATTTAATTCTGTATTATTAAAAGACCCTTTAATACGCTTAATGTGATCGTTAAAAAAATCGATAGTAAAGAAGATTATTTACAAAATCAAAGTAGTAAAGCTCTATTAATTTTTTTTTTATTGAATCCTGTTAATTAGTATTACAATCTGTGCAAAGTAGAACAATGAGTAATTTATTTCTTGCATAAATTTAATAAAATATTTTCTATACTAAACTTTTACTAACTTTCTTCTTTTGTGTGTTTCTCTTTATTTCGATTTGGGGTTTAGCCATTCGGACAGTCACATCGAACGTAAGAGAAATGTGTGCATAAAAATGTTTCCAACAAAAATACCAAGCAAGGCGGAAACATAACTAAGGAAGGTACTGTCAAAATAGGAAGGTTAGGGTCTTCACAGAAAATAACTTCATATCAGCTCTCTAGGTGCTCTACAGAGGGCTTCGGTTAGTTAATTTGAAGTTGCTTCTGCGTTTCCATCTTAATTAGGCAGGATGGTAAAATAACGCTCGGTTTTGAAGTCAAAAAAGGTCCTATCAAACGAGTCTCAGGACAAGCAGGGAGCAGAGCCCCGTGTAGAAGGCCCCCAAGTGTAGGTCATCCTACATGGGGACCGTAGTAAAGCTAGACTTGACTAACTATGGCTTGGATCCAGAGTGTTAACCTTGTTTACGTTTTACTCCTCTTCAAGGAAGGCGTACTCCTTTTTTTCTTATGAGTAATGGAGGTGTGACAAACGTGATGATTTATGTTATATTTGGAGAAGTAGTGGACTACTAAGGAGCTGGAGTTCAGAAGGTGACGTATATGTGTGAACGATGTTTTAAGAAGTCCACAAGAGGAATTTTGGGTGAGCTATGCCAAACGTATCGAAGGAGGTATTTCAGGGGTTACCAGCCATATAGTAGGAAGTTCGTGTCCAGTGTTTTAAAGAAGTTTAGCTGGAGGAAAGGGAACTTTTCTTCGAGGAAACCTGGTGAGTATGTGCCCTCGGCGATTGCAAGGTGTCTTTAATATTTGCTTTACTCGGTTATTCCAGCATGTGATAATTCGAAGGACATACCTGCTGCTGAGGGATAGGATTCTGTCTTTAATAGATATTATATTTGCCAATATGTTTATGTGCACTGCCTCATGCAGAATCTGAGGATTTTTCTTTCGATAGACTATGGCTTGGAAAATGCACCCTTTTTATACACTTTATTTCGTATCCATGTGTGCATTTCCAAGTCCATCGGCCGATCATAAATTTCGTATGAGGCAGAAAGGCGGGGCGATGCGCATCAGAGTGCGTATTAGTCGTCAGACCATCGCACTCGATGACAGTCCGAGTGTCGTTATCTTTTTCGTCCAGAATCAATCAAGGTATTCATATGTGACAAACAATACTAGGCCATTTAGGTGGGTATTATAAAAATTAGGTAAAAACAAAGGTTACTACAAACAATTTTAATTGTACTCTATTTTTTTATTTAATTAGAGGAGATAGTTCGTTCTAAAGGGATATTTTATTAAATTTAATAATAAATACAGATATTTTGCATTATTAAAGAAAACATAATCAAGATAGTTCTCTTATTGTCATTTAACAAATCGGTGTGATCTTTATTGTTTGTCATATTACATCAAATCTGGAAATTTAAATTTTAAACATATTTATGTTTTGTTGATTACTTCATATAATATACAAATATACGCCCCAACGATTACTCACACTGACAAAGAAATAGAGGAACTCTACAGTAACCTAACTGAAGCATTAAAAAATACCAATAAAAGTCACTTTAAGTATTTAATTTATGACTTAAATGCCACAGTGGGAAAGAGAAACAGCACCGAACAAGCCATGGGAAAGTATGGGGTTCGTGAGAGAAATTATGCGAAAGAAAAACTGGTTTAGTTTGCACACTATCAAAACATTCATATTACAAATACATTCTTTAAGAGTCCATAGCAGAGACCATAGATTGATCAGAGCAAGAACTGTTCTAGATGTTCTAGATCTAAAACTAGAAAGAATAAAATTAGTCAAAAAACCAACAATAACCTCTATAAATATTAACAATCTAAAAGAAAACTCAGATCACTATAAATGGAAATAAAAATAAGAAGGGAAATAAAAATAAGTAGCAACATACACAGAATCTTGTAAGACAATAAAGAAAAGTATTAAGGAAGACATAAAAAAATACAACGAAACACTGGTAAAAAATGCAATCTAAAACAGAAAAAACTATAATCAAACAAGAAAAGCATTAATTATTGAGAAGAAGCAAATCGTTGCTCTAACAAACGCAAACGCCAGAATTACAGACAGAAATGAAATAATACAACTCGTGAATAAATTCTACAACGAACTATACAAAGCTCCTGCGACACTTAAAAAAGCAATTAGTAACCAAGAAGATGTATCACAAATCCTTCTAGAAGAAGTAGAATTGACAATTAGAAAAATGAAATGCTGAAAAGCAGATAGAAGAGATGGCATATTAGTGGAACTGCTTAAATACGCTGGCAAAAAAAACCTTGAATATCTTAGCAGGCGTACTTACGAACTGCCTAAAATCAGGATGCCTACTAGTCCACTGGAATACAGCAAACATAATGACCATCCATAAGAAAATTAGCAAAGTGGATATCAAAAACTATAGAGCTACAAGTCTACTACCAAGCATATACAAGATATTCACAAAGATCTTCAATAACGGATTACCAAATGCATTAGATGCTGCACTATCAAGACAGCAAGCTGGCTTTAGAAGTGCATTCAGTCCTGGATTACTCTGGATCATATCCATGTGGTAAGGAATATGACTTCGGGAAGGCTTTTGATTCTATAGATCCCAAGGCAGTACTAGAAGTTTTGAGTAACTAAGGCATTGACCAACCGTACATTGAGACTTTAGCAAATATATACACACAAACAAAAGTTTAGGTAAACATTTATAAAAACACTCCAGAATTTCCTAATACCAGAGGCATCGGACAAAAAGACTCAATATCATCAAAGCTCTTCACTGCAACTCTAGAAAATATATATTCGTCCAAATACACTGACAGAACAAAGACCTATCCATTGATGGAGATTACCTCAGCTATCTAAGATTTTTAGACAATATCGTTCTGATTGCTAATAATCCTACAGAACTACAAGAACTTATAAGCGACCTAAATGCAGCTGGCAATAAATTTGACCTAAAAATAAACTTGACAAAAACAAAAACCATGTATAACGAGCTGGTAGATGTCCAAGATATAATAATAAACAATACTACACTTGAAACAGTAGACGAGTTTGAATATCTGGGACAATTAATATTATTCTGGCTTCTTAATCCCAAAATTCAACAAAACAATGAAACAGGCTACATCTTTTGGTAATAATGGAGTTATATTCAAATCTAGGATGCCACTTCACCTGCCAATCATGACATACGGCTGCAAAACTTGGACATTAAAGAAAGAGATAATAGCGAATTTCAAAGCTACACAAAGATCAATGGAGCAATGCATGCTAGGTGTAACAAAGAGAAATCGAAAAAGAATAGAATGGATCAGATAGAAAACTAAGGTTACTGATGTAATCCACAGAATTAAATCTTTTAAATGGCAGTGGGTGGGACATTTAGCGAGAACTGACAATAGATGGGCGACTACAATTACACTGTGGTATCCAAGAGGCATCAAGAGACCGAGAATACTTCCAAATTTAAGATGGGACTATGACATAAGGAAACAAACCGGTACAATACGGCACAGAAAAGCGAATATTAGACAATTGTGAGCAGAAATGAAGAACTACTATCTAAGGGAGGCTGCACCAAAATCGGTAGAATACGCTGAGTATGATGATGATACTTAGGAAAATGAGAGTTCATAACGTGCAATCAAAAAACTTTAATTACACTTTTCAACTAACATCAATAATTCTATTTCTACCCCCGTTGTTAATATTACTCTTTTCCTCAAGAACTCTCCCATTAGTTGTCAATTAGTGCAGTAAACCCGATGATCACTAGTCTCCAGCTGACCATACTGAGCTTTAATTATGATTTTTTAAACATTTAGTAATAATCCTTGTATTGGCATGTAAGTAAAATTTATTTAATTATTATTTATTTAATTAAAATGATATGTCAATAAAAATAAATAAATAAAAAACTGCACACAATAATATTGGCATAATTGCTATATATGTTGTATCATACAGCAACCTAATACGGTTATTGTAATTTTAGCATTTAATTTACCCTGTACAGTAGACCTGAGAATGCATAGAAATTTGCGTAGTGGTAGAATAAATTGATTGTAAATCTTATTCTTACCCTTTACCTAAATTAAAACGGGCTAACATTGGCAACATATTCAAGAATTGTATTATTATTATGAACTAAAGAATAAATTAATCTGCTACTGCAGAGCTATAGAAATAAACTGCAGAACTAAATATAAAGTGTAAGTCTAAAAATAAAATTATCGAAGTATTACGCCAATAAAAAACTACAAAATTCAAAAATTTTCTGGAGAAAAAAAACTCTCAGCACTGAAAGCGACTAAAAGTAATTTATATTTTTTTTGGTATGTAGTTCTCGGCCGAAAGCAAGAACCGTGTGAGTTATATATCAGAGTATCCAATTTCACAGTGGGGTTTGATAAATTATTTTCTACAAGAAGACAAATTGACTTCATGAAATTTAAGAGTAATGTAGGGTAAAAGATAATGTACAAATATTTTACACCTACGAGGTGTTTGTATGTTGTATATATATATATATATATATATATATATATATATATATATATATATATATATATATATATTGTTATGATATGTAAAATCGAGAAAAATATTGGTGTGTTTAAAATACTTCAAAGTTCAAAAACATTAAAATAATTCAGATAAGTAGGATAATAACCAACAAACATTTCGAAGAAGGAAAGTCTTTAAATTTTTGGATTACCTGTATTAAACAAAATGTAAGCTATGCATAAATT